TTTTTCGTAGCTTTGGACTAACTACTTCTCCCTTACCACAATATTTATTTATCAAAAATTTCCCTTACACCCTGTAATCAAGTGCTACTTCATCCGTGGTTGCTGCAATCGAAACCAGTCAATTTTTTTGTTTAGAACCGTTCTGGTTTGACCAGTTTCGTTCCTGTGCATATTGTTCGTCTTTGACTACGTTCCATTATTTTCTGGTGTTTCTTTTCTGTGGCCGTGTTTTCTACTTGACTCGGGGACCGATAGCCGATGTCGTGTTTGTTTTTTTCGCACAGGACAAACTGTGTCTAGTTCAATTTCAATCTCATTTTCTCGCCTTCGTTGTCTCACTCAAACACTCCGAAAACGTAACCACTCATGCATAGGCAAGGGGCACTCAGTTGCCCGAGTGAATAATTCACTGTTTGGTAAAGAAATTAGAATTAAATAGCTTGAACTCGGATTCGGAAGGAAAAACCACTGAACAGCACAAATTTAGACGAATGAGCTGTGGGCACATTCGAAAAATCATGCAAATAAATATCACAAGCATCCAATAATGATTGGTCGATTCTTCAATGCCCTAATCGAGAACGATATGATTGCCTTCTTGCATTCGGACTATCCGACTGATGCGTTTTGAAACCACTGGATTGGCCAGGAAATCCGTTTCCCCCGATTGGCTCTTGGAAGCTGCACTCTGGTTCGTGCATACTCGTCGCTCGATCAACACAGTTTTCTTTCCAGTATTTTTCACGTATTTTATGTCTAACGGACAACCACACTTACCGGAACCAACTGCCTATTTAGTCTCCATTCGTTTTGGACTTTGAACGTATTTCTGTTGGTATCATATGGATATTATGGCGTACAACACTCAAGTGATCTCCGTCATGTCTTTAACTGCCACGTCGAAATCACTCAGATTCCTGTGTGTTTTCTCCGCAAATGGTGAAGCTTTGATAATCGGCATTTTGCATTGTTGCAAATCTTCGCTGAGATTGTTGCATTGAACGGTCACTGTTAACCGTTACCGATCAGCAGTTTTAACGCACTGAACGCTTGGATGACGACGATCATGATTGAAAGACAAAAGATTCGAAATTCCTTGAAAGCCACCAAAAGGGCCCCATAGTTACGGATCATTTTGACTTTGGTTCATTCTCAACTGCGTATAGAATGTTGTGGGTTAACTGTGCGATCATTTTGGAACATATGATGTTGACTAATACAATTTGAAAGCCACATTAAAAGACGAAGAAAAAACTGAAATGCGGGAAAATGAGTAATTTAGCGGGAGATTTTAATCGATTAAATCACAACCATGATATGATTCTGAAATAATTTTCAAATCAATTAATGAACAACACTCAAATACTTCTCCTTTCCAGCTCACTTTCTATTAGATCATCGTAAGCTTTCTGATAAAAAGACCCTGGGTGAATAATAGAAAGTGAGTTATGTATGAGAGAAGATTTTTTGGTGTGGAAATATGATGAAAAGACGAAGCTCTAACAGATTCCATAGCTATTTTGAATACCGGATTACTGTGTGGACAGATATCGGTTAACATAGGCAGATCCAAGATCTTCTCTTTAAGAATCGAGGGAAATAAGTATACTTAGCATAAGGTGTGGAGACTATGCATGTATTTGATGGAGTTGCATAATTTGCCCACACATACACTGGCAATCACCGAGTTGCGTGGAATAAATCTTGTTCCGTGCGTGAACGTGGGTGTGTCTTATCTTATCTTTTGTCTTTTTACATCGTTTTTTTAAATTTTATTGAATATACAAATGGACTGTCGACTTTCAGGAAGGAAACTGCGGTCATGCGCAGGCTGCCTGGGTAAAATGCAGAAATAGAGAAGATGGTCGGCGGTGAAGCGGTTCGAACCCGGGACTTCCGGGTCACAATTCGGCTCATATCTTCAAACCCAAACACCCATGTGTCACACGAGGTGAATCGAACGACATTGGACACTGAAACATTTTTGTACGTTCCACCATTCATACACGTTCTATGTCATACTACTCACAATTGTGAGTAGTTTTCGCACACTAAGAGGCGATTGTGAGAGTTCCACGGTATCTGCGAGTGCAATAACGAATTTACTGTTATCAGTACAAAACAGAAAAACAGATTATCTGGCTGGCGATCACCAATAAAGGGTTGATCACAAACATACTATTACTATTACTATTATACTATTTACCTCATTTAATTTAGCGATTCATTGACCTAAAACTTAATGATTCCGACATGGAACACCTTCAAGATATGCAACAGAGAGAAAACAACTTGTCACCCGGCTGAGCATGGAAAACTTCAAATGGGAAACCTAGCCGCTTGTTTGGTGCCTTTGCGTGTATATGTGTTACCTTGGTTCTGAGCGTAGAATGGATAAAATGAATGCATGGAAAAAGTTCAAATCACTCGCAAGTTTATCGCACTTCTTTAAACATGATACATAGATGAAACATATGACCGTTCTATCTCCCCCTAGAAGTATTTGGTGATAACAATCAAAGGAACAGCGCCTATCCAAATAGACACCAGACTGTGATCCACTGATTTTTTCAAAAGTGGAACGGACGAGCGAGTAATTGTACCGTATACTTACGTACCGGTTTTCACTATTAATATAAAAAAACCGGGGGGAAATTTCATGAACTTCCGAGAAAATTATCACTTCGATTAGAAGAAAGTACAAACCACAATTTCTCAGTACCGCAATTGACAGTTAAACAGTGCAGTACCAGTTTGTAATCTCAAACCGTCGGAAAACTGTTGTTTTATTTTTGAATAAGATGTACAAGAAAACTTTCGATGTCAGGTACTTTTTATTACATTTTCCCAGTGGCCTCCTTTTTTTGCTAATATTATTATTTGCAGTGATCATCCTTCAGACTCCATCTTCACGTACTGTACTTGATTGTTCGATTTCATTGGGGCTTGTCAGCTCACCAGCGAAACTCGAATCCAGTTCTTCCCGAGTGTTCATTTGGTTGGATGATCTACGGACTGGGCTTAAAGATAAATTTTCAAGGATGATCAGTTCAAATGAACAATTTATCTCAAACTATATCTTTTCAACTTCAAGTGTATCCGTTATCACTTCAAGTAAATCGACCAATCACATTCCATTGGAAACCTCATAAGCTAAGCCCCGTCCAGTCCGAACAGACTAACTTCTCCCTAAATAAACAAAAGTACTTTTTGAGTGAGTTCCCGAGCGAGAGGATGAAAGTTACGTTTGGTGAGATGGGCCGTTTCCCCCACACACACCCCCCCTGCCCCGCACACACAGCTGTTGTCTTTGTGATCGTTGATGAAGTGTGCGTCTTAGATACGAATGAGCGAACCCGGAGTTAAT